TGACTTATTAAGCAAGCAAATTAGTTTAAAAAAACCGGCCAAGTGCGAGTCAGACTTGTGCACGAAGGGATCCGTACCGTTATCTATAAAAACGGCAAATAAATCATGGGTGTATAGGAACCCCACTCAAATATTATTTTAATTGTTTTTATTATTTGTCGATTAGCGGCAACAGACATACATCATCTGTGAAACTCTAATTTCAACTATCTAATTATTACGGTTCATGAGATACAGCCTGGACAGACGGGCAGACAGACAGACAGCAGAGTCTTAGTAATAGGGTCTCGTCTAAAGGGTAAACATTAGGGTACGGAACCCTTAAAAGACAAGAGATACTGGCACATTCCAGAGCAATTTTTACCACCCCACCCAGCCAACGATTAATACAATACGGCCATCGGGGCCAAGGTCCAGAGTAGATGACACACCAGTGAGCACATGCGCGTTTTTACCCTACGACGGGGGCCGTTTATAGCTCGTGGAATCCCACGAGCTTTGCGTTCGATGAAGCTTTAATCGTCTACTGAATGTTGGCGAGAACGTCAATATATGTCATACATTATTTACTTGGTAAAATTAGTTTTCAAAGGCCATTTTCATCATATTTATATTAATATATTTTGACAATATTGACATTATTTTAACATTAAACAAACACGGGGCGTTTAAAGGCACATGATTCCTCTGATTTTTTTTTAAATTGTGTACATTTGATTGAAGAACAAAATCTTTTTACGTTTTTCGATTTTTATATTATAGTTTTAAAATACATAAAAGAAACAAGTTTCTTCAAAACTCCGAATGTCTTTCCGGCAAAATTACAAAATTGAAATGGAAACTTTATCATAGATATCACATTAATAATCCATTATAATTACTTTCTGCTTATCTACCGTATTTTTACAATTTTATTAATACAATTACATCACAGATGTTCTCATAGAAACGTTCTTAAATTTTTTCACTTTGAAATTGAAACTTAATGACCCAACTGAGAAAGCAAGTCAAATCGGAATTTTGGTTACTAAATAAATGCTTGTGCAAAAACACGCACTATTTGAATAAACTTAGACTATACGCACACGTATAGTCTAAGTTTATTCAAATTACGATAAGAATCTGTAGAATGTACATATAGTTAGATAACAAGTACAAACAACTTGCGAGTCATATTTCCTGGCCCCTTAAAGGCAATGCAAATAACAAAGATAAAGGTGGTGAATGTATAAAGTACCAATCACAGGCCCTCGAATTATTCCCAAGGGTAGACACAAGATTTTCGATTCGTGACCCAATAGTTATTTTCCGCGTTCACTTCGCTAGGTATTACGGAGGATTGAAAATCCCTTAATACCGCAATGGATCCCCGAGAAATACGGTATGTTAACACTAATCAAGAGGGTATTTGCTTAACTTAGGTATATTGGCTGGGATTTTCTTCTTTCATGTTCCTTAAAAATTTGTTTAATTTAATAAAATCAAGATATAAATATTAATATTCATTGCCGCATAATAACAATACAAAAGGTTTTTCTAAATATTAAAGTTTTATGTGATTGAAATACAGAAATACTCTTTGAACTAGTGAAAAGATTAAGTCTTACATTTGTCTCTTCTGACAGGTTACAGAGTAAGCTGGCTATAATTTCTTCAATTTATCAGAAAAAAAAACAAATCAGGGCTTTTTAACTCTGTTGCTGCAAAGTTTGCAGAATTTGGATTTTTTGATAAGTCCAAAACTAAGTGGTATCAACCTTACGAAATACGAAGTACGAATAATGAAATTTTAATTCTCTGTGTGACATTAAAGTAGTATTAAGACATAAAAATGACATTAAAAATAATATATTTATTCCTTTTTTGTTCCATTCAATTAAAACGTTAAGCATTAAACAGTTAGAAACTTTTTGCTACTATGACAGTTTTATTGTCAAAATAAATTGCGAGAGTTATACATAGTACCTGGAGGACCGAGCTTTGCTCGGTTTTTTTTTGGTAAATCATGTATTTTGGAAATTAAAAAAAAAAAATAAGGAAAGCATTGATCTGGTATAGAAAAAAAAGTAAAAAAAAATAAGTGTGTAAATGATCGTGATACGAACCGCGGCTATCTGTTTTGGGGCCACCCGATTACCGACCGAGATATTTTAACATTTTTTTGCGGCGAAATACCGTTGCGGCGAATTACCGTCATATTCGAATTATATTTTTCGTTCCCTGAAAACAGGGATAAAAGGACATTTTCTAAAAATGAAACCTAGCTAGATCGATTTTTCTCCCCCAACTTTACGCACATACTAAATTTAATGAAAATCACTGAAGCCGTTTCCGAGATTCCGATTACACACATATATATATATATATATACTAGAATTGCTCGTTTAAAGGATACGATTATGTACATACCATATATTATTTCAAGACCTGTTAACAGTACTATAGGCCTAATTAATCAACATTCACATGGTTTAAAAAATTATTGCCCAAAGGCAAACAAATTTGCAGTCCTCAGTTTTATAATTGTCAAATTAAGTGCTAATTGAAATCTGTGCGACTATTATAGTCAAATACAAAAAGGTTCCACTCGTATACATTTGTTACATCAGTTAAAGAAATTGTTGGCTTTGAAATCTGTAATAAAATTCTTGAAGTTTTTTTATGTGAAAAGATGCCAAGCGAGCAGACGTTTCACCTGCTACACCCGTGGGCTTGCATATGCATTGACAACCTTTTGAAAATTGGGCTCCGGCCACCTCACTAACCAGACGAAACGCGAAAGTATTAAACCTCCACTTTACGCTGGTCTTCTGTGAGGCCGTGGTACTTACCCGGACGAGCCTGCCCATTCGTGCAACACCCGAGGCTGCTTCGTGGCCCTACCACCGTAAAAAGTTAAGTATTTTCTTTTTCAATTGCTTCTGTTTTAAAATCGTACATTACACGTATTCTTTTTAGTACTAATGTGCTTACTCGCGCGAACAGTAATAAACCTTTCGTGACTTTACTGGCGGCTTGCAAACATAATGCGATATTCAGTTCATTTAGAATTCAGAGCATGTTAGTTGTTTCCTATGCTATGGTCCCATTCGTATGACATTTGGAGCACACTTTTATCATTATTAATATGAACGCGTTTCTTGACTTTATTTTTTTTTTATTTGACTAGTAAGTGAATTTTTCAATTATTTACAAGATATATAGGACGGCGATTTTTGAAAATTTTTATATAAGTATACAATACTAGCTTTTCACCCTTTATCCTTTAATATCCTTTCGTAGGCTCTAGATTATCTATGTACCAAATTTAATTAAAATCGATTCAGTAGTTTTGGCGTGATAGCAAGACAGACAGACAGATAGAGTTACTTTTGCATTTATAATATTAGTATGGATAACATGATCTTGTTTGGATAGTTATTTTCAAGATTTTGGATTTTTAACGGTGTTAGGGCCACGCAGCAGCCTCGGCTGTTGCAGGAATGGGCATGCTCGTCCGGGTAAGTACCACGACTTCACAGAAGACCGGCGTCAAGTGGAAGTATAATACTTTCATGTTGCGTTCGATGAGTCAGGTGGTCGGAGCCCAATTTCCAAAAAGGTTGTCAACGCATCTGCAAACCCTCGGGTGTAGCAGATGTCCATGGGCGGCGGTATTCACTTAACATCAGGTAAATCGTCTGCTCGATTGGCAATTTTTCACATAAAAAAGATAGATTTTTAAATTTCTTATAAAAGTGTCGTAATAATATATATTATATTATAATAGAAGTATTTGTCTATTTTCACACTACGACCATAATTCTCACGTGTTTTTATTTTTATTTAATAAATTTTCCTTTATTTTTTTTAGTGTCAACGCACGTGGTTATTTATTTATAGTTAAATATTTAGAGATTTAAATTTTTTATAGTGCTAATCTTTGCATTTAAGATTGCACATTAAAATATGTAGAAAACATACATAGTTAAATATTTCTTCATAACTAATTACTGTATTCAATTAAAGTGATTAACCTTTTAATTTTTTTCTGGATAAAGTTTCTATTATAAAATGAGTCACTTCCCAGTTAAATTTCGTTATACAGTCAAGGAGAAGAAAACTTAAGTAACCGTCAAAATTGATTAATACATGTATTTTTTATCATCACTAAATATTTTATGTGATACGAATAAAAATAACATTTAAGATGATCGACAAACAGGTTGTGAAAAAACAGTTCCAATGTGAATATTTAAAACATTATACTGCTGTATGCTCGTAGTACGATTTAAAATTCTGCTTTTATATTCGAGTTAAAGAAACATTAGTAAAAGTAAGACTAAGTAATTAAAAATAATAAAATGGAACATTTTTGAGTCAAGATATATCTGCTTTGTTTTACGGAGGATAATAAAACAACGGTCGATCCGGAGCACTGTATTTGTGTTATACAAACTCAAAACTGAATCGGCATTAAATTTTCGACACAATTGTAAGGTATTGTGACCCACATGTATATATATCTGATAATATACATACATAGTTTTAGTTCTACTTCGCCTAGAATCACACTAAAACCTCACCACACATACAAAGTACATTTGCATTCAAGGACGGCTCTTACCACGCCCAGCTACCGATTAGACATTAGACAGTCGACGATCGTCGTGGTGGCTATGTGTCGTTTTTGGTCGAATGTCGAACAAAAACGACACATAGCCGACAAAGACAACATAAATAGCACATGCAACTAGGCTTCAACAAGCTTTTGAAAACTTTAGAATTTTTAGCAGACTCAATATCCTTCTATATAAATTATTAATTTTTAAATTTCTCTAACCAAAAACAATTATAAATTAGATTTTATTATACAATAGTATACATCTTCACACTTGATTTATTGACACATATCCATAAGAAAGTAGCTACTATTAAAACCGATCAAAAATACTCTCTCTGGCTTATAAAATGTGAATAAAATATTCGATTATTAGTAATGTACTATTATGTATATTTACCTGAAATAATGGAATTCTGCGTAGCTGATGGAGATTTTGATACGGCGATCAATAAGAACGCCAGTATAATTTTTTGCATACACTGAACTATGCACATGTCGTTAATTTTATGATTAACATTGGAAATATTCAATGTACGGCTGGGGAATGTAAGCTGCGTGCTTCTCTTTGATATCCCAATCCAAATTCTTCGTTCACCAACCAAATCTGTAACAAATTAGGTTGATTATATTTAAGTTTCTATGAAATTAATTAATAAAATTTTGTTTATATATTCAAAGACGCATTTATGTAAACGGTTCATTCGATGGAAAGTGAGGTCTCCTGCTACTTCACTCACTGGTTGATTACTTTAAGATTCATTAACAAGTTAACAATAATTGGAGCGACTCAAATAGTGTCCACGCACAGTTTATTGGAATGGCCAGCTGTTGTTACTCTAATTATTCAGTTATTATATTTTTTTTTACTCGAAACTGGCCAGCGCATGACTGCCATCTCAACTCATAGTAAGTGGCGATTCAGCCATATATTATATTCACATAATAGCACTTTAATTTTTTTATTATTAATGCACAGCAATTAATAGAAATGATGTATTTCGATATAAACCCATATCATATATATATCTGGACATCGTCATTGTGAAATTTCATGTACATTTATATGACACCTCTTTTTATTCAAACTTTTCCAAAATTTGTACGACCTTGAATTAAAGTAATAATTATAAGAAAAAAAAAATATGTATGAAAATAATTTGTAAACATAAATGTCTAAATGGAGTCGTTATAACATTTTTAATAACATTTAGGAGATTCAGCTTTATTGTACATTAGTTTTGAAAAGCGAACAATTACTCGTAACCAAATTATACTTAACGGTGGTAGGGCCACGCAGCAGCTTCAGCTGTTGCACGAATGGGCAGGCCCGTCCGGGTAAGTACCACGACCTCACAGAAGACCAGCGTAAAGTGGAAGTATGTCAAATACTTTCGCGTTTCGTCTGGTGAGTGAGGTAGCCGGAGCCCAATTTTCAAAAGGTTGTTAACGCATCTGTAACCCTCGGGTGTAGCAGATGTCCATGGGCGGCGGTATTCACTTACCATCAGGTGAACCGTCTGCTCGTTTGGCAACTTTTCACATAAAATAAAAAAATTATAAAATATACTAAGACTTTTGTAATTTACGACCAGTCTGTGCGCACAGTAATTAGATTACTTCATTTTTACGAAATATTATACTAATCAAGAATTTGGCATTTCACAAATAACTCTGAAATATTACCAGAAACTTTGCGTGTATCTCCGAGGTAAACGTTATTTTTTCAAAGGTTAATTTCTATATTGTTGGCGCTGGCAACACTGTATACCGGATATGTCGTTATCTACTCGAGCCAAGGGACACATGGTCGCATGGAGCAGCGGTCACTTGGATTTCGGCCGCGTTCCCAGACGGTTATATAACCACTAGTGCTGCTTGTCGTTATTATGGTTGTTAATATTCACGTTCAGTAATAGTTACAATATTAGGATCAAGGTAAAATCGTTAGAACTCTTATAGCAGAAGTGGGATTCAATAGAAAACTTGCATTTGGCTGTTCAAAAAATATGTCGTACATTGACGACATATTTTCTCCTTGTGTACTTACCCTCGTATACAATAAAGCAGTGTGTTTCATACGTACTATACGTAATGATGATAAAATCTTTTATTTAAATGTAACGAAAGTTTTGGTGAGTACCTTCCAGTTAATTAATTACTTAACATAATTGAGAAAATCTTAAATAGCGATACACAACTGGTTTACCCGGTTAAGCTACCGAGCAGTTTAGTAGTTGGAAAATTTAAGGCATAACTGGCGATGGATATCCATTGTAAACACCATCACTGGTACTTAGACAACGTGGCAATACACGCCTGGTCTAACCGGTAAAGCTACCTAAGTTGATAAATCGATGAAAACTGTGAACGTGACGATATTCATCCCAGTTGTGAGGGGTAAGCCACAGGCTAATGCCCACTTTCCGAAAGGCCAATCAAAGCAGCAATCACATAACACTATGTCAAAAATGATCAGCTGTTAATCTCTTGATAAACTCCCTTGGGTTTCTGGAAGGTTTGTTCAAGAAAAATTAGCTAATCACTGTATAACCAATGATAATGAATGAAATGAATGATTTACTTCAACTAACTCTTTCTATTGTATAGCTGTCCCTTTTTAAACAAAACTTAAATTAACGTCACTATCCAGTCCTGTCACCGTGTGATTGCCAACGTAAAAATCCGAGCTATAATAAAATTTAATTTATATAAATACATGCAAAATGTCAAAAAAAAACTATACGGAACGAGAAAAAAATGAACTTTTATCAATAATAAATAAGTAAGTATTATAAAAAGAAAGAATCCATATTATTTATTAACTTTTGAATTGCATTTTGTATTTTTTCTAATCACATGATAAGTTCGCATAATAATAAATAATAAATAGGTAATAGAACATATGAATGTCCTAACAACGTATTAGGGAATTATGTTTATTTTTAATAAAAACTAAGATTTTTGATAAATAACATTTTAAACCAACGATTGATCGTCCAAATTGACAGATTACTTAATAAAACTTTTGACAGCTCTTTGACCACCGAAAAACGCTTTCAGAAACTCGATTTTCTGTTCATTGTCCGTTAATCAGTGACTAATTGCAAATCAAAATCAATGTTGTTTAAGACGTTCTAGCAACTCAGATCATGTTAAACAGCGATTGACAAGAGATTTATCGTAAATTAAAATTGTTTGCGCTTTCGGAAACTGGGTGTAAGTGTTTTGAACGTGGCGATATGCATCCCAGTTGAGGGATAAGCCACAGTGTAAGGTGTTCTGAACGTGGCGATATGCATCCCAGTTGAGGGAGATAAGCCACAGGGTAAGGTGTTAATTTTATAAAGGTTACTTGTACCAGAATACAACGCCATTCGAGGACGAAGGCGTGTTGCAGGACGGCCGAATGTTGGCGCTGGCAACACTGTATACCGGATATGTCGTTATCTACTCGAGCCAAGGGACACATGGTAGCATGGAGCAGCGGTCACTTGGATTTCGGCCGCGTTCCCAGACTGTTATATAACCACTAATGCTCCTTGTCGTTATAATGGTTGTTAAAATTCACGTGCAGTAATAGTTAAAATATTAGGATCAAGGTAAAATCGTTAGAACTCTCATAATATCGAATTAAATAAATTATGTTGGGCGTAAATAGTGATTAAGGAATAGAAATTTCTTCTTTTTGTTACAGTCGGTAAAGTATTTTGCTGTTGCTTTTTTAATCTAATATATAAAATTCTCGTGTCACGGTGTTTGTAATTGTACTCCTCCGAAACGGCTCGACCGATTTTCGTGAAATTTTGTGTGCATATAATTTTTGTGCGGCCAGGGTGGAGAATCGGACATCATCTATTTTAAATCCCCCTAAATGTTAAGGGTGGTCCACCCCAAACATTTTTTTTTACCATACAAATAATTTATATGGCAAAACAACATTTGCCGGGTCAGCTAGTATTTTATATTATTTAAATTTAATACTACAGTTTATGTGAAAGCATCTCTATCAAATGTTTTGCTTGTCTTCACATCAATGTTGAAAATCAAGTTATAGAAAACATGAAAGAAAAATTAATGTTGCACAACTGTATTCATTAAAAAAATATGCATTTTTAAAAAGTCACATCCTCAATGTGGTTACAATTACATATTTTACCGTTTAGAAATGTATTATGGAACTTTGTATTAGAGCCTGCTGTAAGAATCTACTAGGAATATGTAGGAATTAAATTTTTCTGTAGTTTCGCCACTAAAATTAGTGAACAGTCAAGAACTAAAAAGAAAAGTCCCTGGTAAGCGTGCTAAGCCTGAAAAAAAAATCATTTTTTATCATTTGGATTCAGCCCAATAATTCCGCAACATCGCAGAACAATTTTGCCTATTCTAACTTTTAGGGACATGAATGAAGGTCGCTCAAGAAGTGGAGCTGCCTTGAACCTTTTTCACTAAGAAAAGGTACCAGGCCACACATGCGCTAGAACAATGCATTTTTAGCCACTACAAATTACCAATTATTGCCGTATCCTCATTGCAAAATAGATTTAGCCCCATGTGATTTATCTTATTTCATTCTCTTGTTTATTATTAACTAGCTACCCAACCCGTCTTCGCATGGGTGCAGTGCTGATACTAAATATACTATACATGTATTACATATAAGATTACTTAAGTATAACATATAAACCTTCCTAATAAATCACTCTAACTAGTAAAAAAACGGCATCAAGTAAAAATTGGATGCAATTGTCAAATATGTACATACCTTGGCGTGCAGTTTGTACTATAGAATGTTTTAAACCTTTCAAATAATAAATGATAAGTAAACGTTTGCAAAAAAACCTAAAAATATTATTGTATTCTATTTTTTTATTTATTAGGCTGGAACGCAATATTTCTATGCAAATTAGGACTGTAAGCCATTTAGTTATCGCAATGATTTGTTATATAGTGGTAGTCAAAAAAATTGCAGTATTGTATGTCGCATGAGCTGTCCTACATTTTCAAAAGACACAATATCACAGGGCATAAACATCCAAGTAAGGAAATAGAAACAGACTTTCATAGGCACATGTAGATAAGAAGCTTTATAAATGTTAAATAACGGCTTTCAATTTTAATATTTCTGCTACTAATCACTGGCTTTTAAATTTATTAAATAGTTTGAACGCATTTCGTGATTAAACCCAATGGACAGACTTGATATCAGGTTGACTACACTTAAATATACATACATAATAATTATATGTATTTAATGTCTTGTGTGTACACAGAGTTTAAATAACTTAATTTCTGGTACAGTTGGTCTAGCGCCTTTAGGAAAAATTAAAATAAGTAGATTTTCAAATTTCTTTATTCAACATAGGAGTATTACACTCGTTTATTGATAGTCAAAATATATTGTACTGAGAAGAACCGACGAAAGAAACTCAGCGGTCTTTTTTTTTTTTTTAAATAAGTCTAGCTCTGATTGAAAGAGACTGGAGCGATCAATTCA